GCAAGCAATTAGTTCAGCTCTTTGTCTCCTTTCTGCGCCTCATTAATTGAGATAATAGTATTTCCATAGATTTCACATGACGATGAAATAAACTGATCCAACATACCTGGCAGCATAGTAAGTGCTCAATAATTGTTAATTATCACACTAGTTTGGTTTTTTACTGCAAATTTTGAATCAAGATGTAACTTTAGAATTATTTTATTATGAATACATTAGCTGGAATCAAAGATAGTGAATAGACTAAAAATTTTTGAGCATTGTTTTTAAATTATTTGTTAAAGTCATGGATCAATAATCCTCCAACAACCCAAGTTTTTTAAAGGTTCTGTTCCAGGCAGTATTTGGCCTTTGTGGGGAAAACAGCAAAGTTAACTTGTCCTCTTTTAAAGATAGCTAAAATGGCATCGTTTACATTTCTTTTGTTCATTTCTATATTAGAGTGACCGCAGGACTATTGAGACCAACTGATAGTGAGTGGTGGATGGTTCTGCCTCTAAAAAATATCCTGAAGCTTTATTTACATCCACTATTTTTTTATCTTTATTTTGTTGATTTCTGCCCTTATATTTATTATTTTTATTCTTGTTGTTCTTTTGGTTTTGCCCATTTTCAAGGTCTTCATTTGAATGTATGTATAGCTCATTTGTTCTTAATCATTTTTATTTTCTGAAAATGTGTTTAAATAAAAGCATAAATCTCCCTCTGAGGACTCCTTTTCTTTGTTCAGAGGTTTTTTATGACTTCATGGTGTACTCTGTACCAAATTTATACTTGGAAGTTAGTTCATTAGGGGTTACATTGCTTGAATTTAGATGTCTCATTAGTACATTATTGATATATTCATTACCTCTAGCAGGTTATATATATATACACACACACACACATACTTTGACATTTCTGAAGCTGAAATGATTGGGATTATGCACTGCTAAGATATAGAAAATAAACTCACTGTTCATTCATAGCCTATTTTTAAGGAAAATCTTGACCCTATTAAAAGGAATGGCCTCAGTAGAAATAATGAAGTAACATTTTAAACGTATAAATTATGGGAATGTTTGAAATATTCATGGAGGATTGTCTGAATGATAATAGCCTATTGATTTCTCAGGATTAGTTGTTTTCAGCTAATTTTTTTCTGCCACCACACTTGGGGAAAAAGCGTTCTCATTAGTGACAGTGGGTGTGGCTGGCATCAGAATCTCCATGTACATTCCATCGTGGGCTCTCACAGGATTGCTGTAGTGTGTCCAAACTGCTTCCCTCCACCTGTTTGTTTTCTCTAGGTCTGTTTTTCACTTTCAGTCACAATGGAAGCCTAATTACATCACCTTCTTTCCTGAAAACGCTTCAGTGCTTCCTCCTCCTCAGGATGCTCAAAGCTCTGTGTGATCCAGTGCCACCTGACACTCCAGCATACTTTTGGACCAGCCTCCCCCCTTTTCTTTATGAGCCAGTGATACTGGCCTTGTCTCAGTTCCTGTCGCAGTTCTACATAGACATTTTGCTCATCCTATTTCCTGTTTGCCTGAGGCCCACCCTTACCTCTCAGGCTAACTCTTCATCTCAGTTCATTCATGACTTCCTCTGGGAGAGCCTTCCAGACTTTCCCCAACTGTGTGTGCTCATATCACTACCTTTTTCATATACTTGTATGGTTGTTACTTTATTTTTGTGATTCTTTGATATCTGTCTGTCACCTCCACCACTAGATTGAAAACTTTATGAGAGAAAACCATGTCTCTTTCTTGTTTGCCATTGTATCCCCACTGAGAAGGTGATGAATAAATATTTTCTAAATGAATTCATGGCTTTTTTTTTCCTGACAGAAAATTCTTATATACATAATTTTTGAGAATCACTTCTCTAGATGTGGATTTCATCTGTGTACTTCAGTGATGGCGAACCTTTTGAGCTCGGCGTGTCAGCATTTTGAAAAACCCTAACTTAACTCTGGTGCCATGTCACTTATAGAAATTTTTTGATATTTGCAACCATAGTAAAACAAAGACATTTTTGATATTTATTTTATATATTTAAATGCCATTTAACAAAGAAAAATCAACCAAAAAAATGAGTTTGCGTGTCACCACTGACACGTGTGTCATAGGTTCACCATCACTGGTGTACTTGAACAATATTTGTTTCTTTAATTAATTGCTTTTTCTCGATTGAACTGTGGCAGCATGTTCTTCTCATTGGAGTATGCTGTAAGTCATAAGCTGTTGAATTGATTATATGGACACTATCGATAGTATCCATTGTGCCAGATAATAGTGTCTTCACGAGGACTCAGGACAAATATATCTCTGATCTCACTCCCACAGAAATATGTGATTCTCTTGAATAAGCGGTCTGTTTTGTTTTTTTGTCCTGGAAGCACTTTTGTCTTACACCTAATCCTTCTTGAAATGCAGAGCCAAGTTTGCAGCTCACATCTAAGAATTAGTCCAAGGTTTCTGGCATGCCCCTCTGAAAACTAATCTTAATCTTTAGAATTTTAATTGTGATATTTACATATTTCATAGTTTGTTCAATAAAAGGCTCTATAATTAGCTTTCAAGAAGGAATGAAACCACCAGAGCTTGCTTTTTTCTTCTTTTTTTTCTGTTTGCTGGGTGAGAAATGAGTTCAGTGTGTTTCTATGTGCTGAAAGGGGAGAGAATAACAGAATGCAGTGTATTACATATTGGGAGGAATTCTAGATGTTAAGTTATTACTGGTTCATTTAGGAACTAGAATTCTTCCCTTTTTTTCTGCTAATGTCACAAAAGCACAGGCATTGCTTTATAGATAGCTGAGGTATATGAGAGTTGTCTGTTAGGCTCAGGGATCTATAGTTAACACTTTTGTGTGCACATGCTAGGGAACTAGACAGAGTTTTATTTTAACTGCCCTCTCCCCCACCCCTTAGTCCTATCCACACAGAGCAGCAGTTGGAGGTTCACTGCTGTGTGGGTTATGAGCTCTGTGGAAGTTCTGATCAGAGACCTTGCTTGGCATTTAGCTTGACTAAATATCAGAATCCCTTTGTTTTCCTTGTGTTGCAAGATAAAATTTTGTGCCATTTGATGAAATGACAGTTGTGCAGTAGCATATCTGACTCTGGAGACCAGGCATTGGAGAAGTAAGAGCAGCCACAACTATTATAAGGAGAAGCTGGAAGGCATTTTAGAGTGATAACTGAAGAATCCCTCACTTTGACCAGATCTTAAGACTCCTTCAGAGTCCGTTTTTGATGGCCCTGTTCTCTTTTCATTTAGTTTGAGTATAGATTGGTCAGCTTTCCCTGTGGCATTCATTACTCTATGGGCAGCAGGATCTAGGGCTATGCTGTTACCCACATCTACGTGGAGCAATGACTTTAGTTGTACTGCTAGGCTTTCCAGTATTATTTACCTTTACAGTCAGTGTTAGTAACATTTTTTTGGACTACGTAAACCAGTAACATAGTCATTTATTGTCATTAGCCATTTATTATCTCTAATTGTACAGAATTATATGTTCCATGCTTTTATTTTTTATTTTTTTATTTTTTATTGTTGAAAGTATTACATCTGTCCCTTTTCCCCCTATTGACTTGTCCCAGCCTGTCCCCACCCCCCAGCCCAGATCTTCAAAGTTAATAACACATTTTTATAAATTTCCAAGTTATATGACTCCCATAGTTGAAAATAGAGCCCTCATGATTCTAGCATAAAGGGAATAACAAGCCCTGACCAGTGTGTCTCAGTGGATAGAGCGGTGGCCTGTGGACTGAGGGATCCCGGGTTCAATTCTGGTCAAGAGCATGTATCTTGCCTGCGGGCACATTCCCAGTAGGGGGCGTGCCGGAGGCGGCTGGTCGATGTTTCTAACTCTATCCCTCTCCCCCTCCTCTCTCTAAAAAATCAATAAAATATGTGTTTTTTTTTAAAGGGGGGAATAACAGTTTTTTCTCCAGAGAAATCACTATCTTTTTAGATACTCCCAGAGAAGCATGGCTTCCTGAAGGACATGGGAAAGAAATATCTATAAATGTCTAATTACATGTTACATAGAAGTGTTATTTGTATATGCAAGTTAGATTTTGATGACGCAAGTATGAGTAAGCATGTCGATTCAGGAAATGAAGACTAGAAGAGCCACATTCAGTTGTAAAAACAAAAAGGAATTACTTGTACCAAGTCCCATTCCTGAAAGAATTTGTATTTGGGTTGAGGCTTTGATAAATTCTAAGATTGGCTCAAGGAGTAAAACAAGCCAAGTAAAAATTGCCAATGCTGTAGATTGTAAAAAATGGATAAGTGGAGTTTCAGCCAACCAGATACATTCCAGGTGTCAAAATGTGTTGGATAAATGATAAAGGCAAAAATGCTTTGGAGGCTATAGATATCCAGATTCTACCACTGGTGGTTTGTAAAGGGAAACGTTTTCTGAAACAAATACAATAAGCCATCTAGGACATAAATGTTCAAGGGCCAGTTGAGAACAAACATAAAATCACAAAGACATACCAGGTAGCTCTTTCATGGCGCCAGTATGACCAGCCATTACTTGCCTTAAGGGGAAGTACCTTGTTTGGTAGAAAGTTGGGTCAGAGCTTAATCAAGAGGGTCCCATGTAAGCTATACAGGTTGAGGGAGAAGATCGGGGAAGGTGCAGGCAAAGCCTAGGAAACTCAAGCGAGTTTTCTGTTAAGCCTGCTGACAGGTTCAGCCAGTTCATTACCCACATAGGCATTCTCAATCAGCATTTTTAGCTCCGCATGTCCCTCAACTAGTAGGAGAACACTGACCCCTAAGAGGCCAGATGGTCATAGGTAATACGAGGAACAGTTTCCATACTGTAGCTCAGCAGTTTTTTAGCCTGAGGGGTGGCGTAAGGAGCTGGCAAGGTGGGTGAGAACCTGCCTCACAGCAGCCTCCATGAAGCAGGGAGGAGGGTACGAGTCTTGTAGAGGCACCTCCAGGACCTCCTATCTTCCATACCTGGAAGATCACAGGTGCTCCGCCAAGGCTCAGGTCACCTGTGGTTGGGCCTGTCTGTATAGCAATGTGGAGACATGAAGATTGCGGGGTGCCAGTCAAGAGCAGTTTACCTACCTATCATATGTGGGAAGGGAGAGAGGATGTTGGATCAGGGCATAGTTTCAAGCACTTAGGAAATTTGTGTTCTATTGGTCTTAGGATAAGCAGTCTATTCTAATGTCTGCTCCCGGACTGTGAAGAAGTCCTGGGTATCCTCTCAGTCGCTCGGGACATCCTGGAAGATGTCCTCCTTAGGATCATACAGCTTATCCCAAGAAGCTCATATTCATGAGTAGTGTCTGTGTAGTATCCGTCAGGAGTACTGGTATCGCCTTTCAGTGAGGATTTTGTATTTCTTCCAAATACGCAGCTTCTGACCGGTAGTTTGTAACAGGAGCCTTTAGGCAGTATGAAGAAGCAGAAACTGCCTGTGGAGGTAACACTGAATGGTTCTAATTCATTTATTTTACAAGCCAACAAAACCAGAATGGAAAAAGGTAGATTCCTCTATTGAGACACATCGGTTTATGAGGATTTAGTGAATAATGACCTCAAAATAGGAACATATTGGGCAGTAAGGACATTGACCAATTCCAGTCTTTAATTTACTAGTATACCACAGTGTGTTATGATTTTTTCCAGTTGTCTCCAATCTACATATTTAAATCAAGAGATAAAACCTTTTTTAATTTATTACAGTTTTTTTAAATGACAGCTTTATTGAGACAAAATTCACCCATTTAAAGTATGCAGTTCACTGGTTTTCAGGATATTCACAGAGTTGTATAACCATTACCACTGTCTTAAATTTAGAACATTTTTATCACTCAAAAAATGAACGCAATCACTCTGAATTCTTCCCTCTAATCTACCTGGCAGCCCCTAATCTACTTTCTGTCTATGGATTTGTCTAAAAGATAAATTCTTTTAAAAATAGTTTTGTGCCCAGCTGGCATCTCTCAGTGGTTGAGCATCGACCTATGAGCCAGGAGGTCATGGTTCGATTCTTGGTCAGGACACATGCCCAGTTGTGGGCTCGATCCCCAGAGGGGAGTGTGCAGAGGCAGCTGATGGATGATGTTTCTCTCTCATTGATGTTTCTATCTCTCTATCCCTCTCCCTCTCTCTCTCTAAAAAATCAATAAACGTTTTTTTATATTTTTAAAATATATTTTTATTGATTTCAGAGAGGAAGGGGGAGAGAGAGAGAGAAGCATGAATGATTAGAGAGAATCATTGATCGGCTGCCTCTTTCATGCCCCCCACTGGGGATCGAGCCTGCACCCAGGCATGTGTCCTGACTGTGAATTTAACTGTGACCTCCTGGTTCATAGGTCGATGCTCAACCACTGAGCTATGCTAGCCAGACTAAAAACATTTTTTAAAAAAGTAATTTTGTTTAATAACTGGACAGTTATTTGCATGTCTATAAATGGAATATGACTGTTAAAAGGACATAATCACTATTTTACATTCATAAAAGTCATCCATATATAATTGACCTAGGAACTCCTCTTTCTGATTTATTAAAGTTTAAAAATTATCTTGGGTTTAGTAAACAAAACAGCTTTCGTGATAGTGTTGAGATAACTCAAACTTTAGAGAATGCTAGCACCCTTGGTTATTTTGTTATGTCTTCTATTAATTTTTTGCAGAGCTGGATTAATGTCTGGTACATCAGTAGGTGTCAATTAAGGAAGCTTTATTTTACTCTGTAGAATCCAGCTTCCCTCCCATTAAGTCTCCTCTTTCCATTATGCCACACATGTTTTCCAGATGTGCCCAAAGCTGTTTTTTTTTTAAAAAAAACAACAACAAAAAAACACTTGGAAGCATTCCATAGAAGTGTGGATCATTGTTCTTTATTTCCGTGTTCTATCCTATTTTTTGTTACTAAGCATGAAATCACAAGTTTAAATTTGTTATTGTTTGAATGCTGGAATGACAAATAGGCTAAGGGAGTAGAAAGAAAAAAAATTTCCGTATTTTACCCTGGCAGATTGCTCAGTGGTTAGAGTGTTGGCCCACTGACTTAAGGGGCATGGGTTTGATTCTAGTCAAGAGCACATACCTCAGTTACAGGCTCAATCCGAGGCGACAGTTGGGGTGGGTGTGGGAGGCAACCAATTGACATTTCTCTCTGTATGTCTCTCCCCCTCCCTTCCACTGTCTCTAAAAATCAATGGAAAAAAATATCCTCAGGTGAGAATTAACAACAATGAAAATTTCCGTGTTTTATGTCTAATAAGTATACATGTCCCATATTTCACAGTAAAACAATTTATGTAAAGCAGGAGGACTTACTAGTAAACTCTGTGCAGCATTTTCAGCTTGAATACTTTATGTATTTAAATAGCCCTAGTCAAAATGCTGAATATGAATCAATGGGTTTATGAATATGAATCAAGTAGGAGGAGACAATGACCACCTATAAGACTTTTTGTTGTTTGTATTTTAAATGTTATGGTGTAAATACAGACAGCAAAGCTCAGGATTCTTTTAATTTTTATTTATTGATTTGAGAGAAAGAGAGAGAGAGAGAAACATGGGTTTGTTGTTCCACCCATCTGTGCATCCATTGGTTGCTTCTTATATGTGCTCTGACTGGGGATCAAACCCACAACTTTGGCATATCATTACACTGCTCTAACTAACTGAACTACCTAGGATAAGCACACGGTTCTTAAATGTACAACTTGAAGTTTTACACATGTATATGTGTATATAGTATCATCACACAGATAGTATAAATAATATCTCAACACCCAGAAGGCTCCTTAGTACCTGGTATTTGTCAGTTACAACCTTCCTCGAGGTTATCACTATTCTGACCTATAAGCATGGATTCATGATGCATGTTAATAGTATCAAATGAGTCTCTTTTGTCTGGCTTCTCATAATCACAAGATTCATTCATATTGTGTATAGACGTAGTTAATTTTTTTTAATAGTATCATATAAGTATGGCACAATTTATGTATGTATTCACATGTTCATGGATATTTAGGATGTTTATAATTTTTTTTCATTATTATGCCCAAAGCTGCTAAAAACATTCTAATACTTGTCTTTTTGTGAATATATGCACTCATTTTTCTGGGGCCATATGGTTTTAGTGTATTATAAACGTTCTGAATTTTTAAATTAAAACAGCCAAAATGTCAGGGCTTCTTCACAAGAAATTTTGAAGTTCACCTGACTGGATATATCCCTCTTTGCTTCTATAATAGAAACTGGGGGCTAATAACATTCATTTCACAGTCATTTTGAGTAATATCATGGGCCTATTCTACAATGGCAGGGGTTAGGGATGTTATATATTTGGTTATTCTGTAAATAGCATGCACCATGCTAGGAATTAGAGCTACAGCTTTGGAAGACATTCATATGCCCTGTTTCCACCAACCAGTGAACAACTCATTCAAACATAATCTGTAGAGTGCAGTGATTCAGAAATGAGAGTTATTGGGGGAATACTTAGGATGGAGCATCTCACTTAAACCTGTGTAGTCAGTGGAGACATCTTGGAGGAAGTGATACCTAAACTGGGTCCTAAAGATTGAATTGAAATTGGCCAGGTGAAGGAGTGAGGGGGTGGGTGTTGAGAGGAGCAGGGCAATGGGAGTCTCTAAAGCAGTGGTTCCCAACTTTCCTAACGCCGAGACCCTTTAATACAGTTCCTCATGTTGTGGTGATCCCCAATTTCGTTGTTACAAATAGAACATAATTAAAGCATAGTGATTAATCACAAAAACACTATGTAATTGTGTATGTGTTTCCCGATGATCTTAGGTGACCCCTGTGAAAGGGTCGTTCGACCCCCAAAGGGGTCACGACCCACAGGTTGAGAACCGCTGCTCTAAAGCAATGTTTCAGGCTTGGAAGAAATTGAAAGTAGCCAAGTAAGCAGAGACTCAGTGATATTGGGCAATATCAAGTTTTGACATCCTCAGATCATTGATAACACTTTTTTTTTTATCATGGAAAACGTCAATCCTAACCTGATAATAGTAGAATGAACCCTCAAATACAAATACCACTGTCCAGCAACTCCAGCCAATGGCCAATCTTGTTGAGAATACCTTTTCTATCCCCAGTGGATTGTTTTTGAAGCATTATGAGCCATCACGTCATCACTGAGGATTTTTAGCAATACTGTGACATGATCAGTTTTGTATTTTAGAAATCACACATTTCTAGGAATTTTAAAGTATCTTTTAAATGCATACACCATGGTTTGGGTGCTTCTCATGTGCTTTCAGTAACACAAAGACATCTGTCTCTATGCACTAGCATCTATTGCTAGTAGTTTGCATTTTTTTTCAAACTATGGAAGCATGATTAAATGTTAAAATTATGTATTTATCTTCCCATGTCAGTTAATTTGCACTTAAAATACTATTAATGAACATTTTGGCTTCTATAACTAGGAGAATGTCATAATGGATATAAAAGTTTGTTTCTAGGATTCAGCCTCCATAATAGCAAAGATAACTAGTATTTGGAAAGTAGGATTAGATTTATAGTATTACTCTGAATATTTTCTATAAATTCAAGTTGAGGAATTTACTATTCTTTTATGCAAAGGGTTTGTTACTTATCTACCTGTTGCAATTTGCTTGTTGATTCTGATGGCAAGAATTAATATAGATTAATTCTCACTTTTATTTTAAAACTATTTTTAGCTGTCTTAAGTCCCTAAGTTAAAAACCCCTTCCTGGAGTTATTTTAGGTAATTTTGTGGATTTGGTAACTGTTGTAATACTTTGGGATGGTACTGCATTTATTTTGTGAGAATAATCTTAATCTAAATCAGAGGTTGGCAAACTGGCTGCTGAGACTGGTTCTTACATTTTTGAAGGATTATTAAAATACAAGGAAAAATTTGCAACAGAAGCCATATGTTGCCTGCAATTTTAAAATATTTACTATCTGGTCATTTACAGAAAAAGTTTGCCAACCCTGATCTAAGTTAATATAACTTAAATTTTGTTCACCTGCTTGTTTTCTTTGGGAAACGTTCCTGTAAGATTTGTTTAGAATGGACATTTGAAAATTTTCATTGTCTTCTACAGAGAAGATGGTGAATTAGAAGACGGTGAAATTGATGATGCAGGATTTGAAGAAACACAAGAACAGGAAGAGGATGAGAAGCAGAAAAATGAGAAAGCCTACAGAAAATCAAGAAAAAAACACAAGAAAGAAAGAGAAAAGAAAAAATCCAAAAGGAGAAAACGTGAGAAACATAAGGTTAGTTAGAATCTACTTTTTATTTTCAGTAAATTTTTATGAAATATAAAATACTGAAAATTAGAAAGTATAAATCATTGCTTATTTTCTTATAAAACATGGATTATATCTTTTATTTATGTGATTAATATATTTTAACATGAATATTATATGAATTAAAGGTTTAAAAAATAAGGTAGCTTTTAATGCAAATTAAAATAAATCTTTTTAGTTGATGGAAGTTTGTAGAATGCTGAAGCTTAAGGAATGAAAGTTTCATTCTCTGCAGATACAGATTAGCAGCATTGGCATTGTCCATCCATTTATTGATTTATTTACAGGCATAACGTGCTTGCTGTGGAAGTCTCCGTGTTGTGTGCTGGGGTTATAGTAACAAGTGAAGAGGCCTCTGTTCTTATAGAGATTACCTTGAAAAGGGAAGGAGAGGCAGTGAACCCATGATAAACAAATGCTATCAAGAAAACAGTAGAGTGCTGAATAGATAATGTGAGTTGGGGTGGAGTAGAAAGGAAAACTATGCTGGCAGAGAACCCAGGTAGTTTTTGAAACTCTGAATTTTCCCCATAAAAACAAAGCAATTAGGATATTGTCAAAACCAAAAAGTTACAATATCTACAAAAAATGAAGTAACAGGCTATCCCCACAAATGTCAAAAATACAAATGGATAAGACTAAACCACAAATAGCAACTGTGTAATGAAGCAGAGGGAAGGTAAAAGGAACTTCCAGAAAACAGACTGGCAAATGGTGTTTTTCTCAAATGGCAGAGTCCGGAGTGAAGCTGGGTGAGGGCACCAATTCTATTCGCAGTCAGGGCCGATAGAGTTTATCATCAATGTTTCTATCTCTCTCCCCCTCTCCCTTCCTCTCTCTTAAGTCAGTAAGAACATTTTTTTTTTAATTTAAGTCTTATTCTCAAGGTAAAAGTTCTTTACTCCAAGAAGACACTCAGAAATATAAAAGGAAAAAGAAACCACCTAAAATTAAACTAACGAGAGTAGCCACTGTTAACATTTTTATATATTTCCTTCAAATCTTTTTTCTTCCGTGATTTTTCCCCTTAATATTGGAGACATACTGTTTAATTGATTTTATATTTGGTATATTTACTAATATTACAGATAAACATTTTTATGTTACTCTAAAATCTTCCAAAATACTATTTTAATTGATTGTTATATCCTTTAGTAAATCATTCTCATCGTATTGGACATGGAGGTCATTTGTGGTAAATCTTGAAGTATAGGTGGGAATTAGATAGTTGGCCAAATAAATCCAGAGAATACAAAAGCAAAAATTGTGAAAAGAATTGCATGTTTGGGGGGGAGGAACCAAGATGGCGGCATAGGTTAACGCCGGAGTTTGCCGCCTCGAACAACCATTTCAAAAGTGAAACTAAAAGACGGAAGGGACATCATCCAGAACCACAGGAACGGTGGCTGAGTGGAAGTCCTACAACTAGGAGGAAAGAGTAACGCATTCGGACACTCAGAGGAGGCGCAGTGCTGAAGGCAAATTCTGAGGTGCGGAGTGCGCGGTTGGCGTTTTCAATCGGGAGGGAGTCGCAGACTCTGAGCTCCAGATCCGGGAGAGGCTTTAGGGGCACAGACTCAAACGGGAGAAGCAGGACTGTCTGGT